TGAATGAACTATATTCCTTTGACTTCAAACAGCTGATTGATGACATGACCGACTATTTCATGAGAATGATCCAGAACATCAGATCTTTTGACTACGACACATTCACTATGGAGCTGAAAGAAAAGGTGGTAGAATTGAGCAAGATTCCCTGCTTCGGAAAACTCTATGGTGAGTTCAGAGTTGCCTCCCCTCATTACAATCTCAGGACCACCGCTGACCTGGAGAACACCACAACTACATCAGCCACACCAGAGTTCAAAATTAACCTCAACTCACAGGCGACATCTACTTTGAAAGTCCTTGATTTCACTGTGGATGCCGGCGTACATTTCGCTGCACCCAAGATGAGTCGTTTGTCCATCACTGAGAACATCAAGGTCGATCAGTCAAGCTTTTCACTTGACCACAAGGGAACCATGACTCTCTATGGCCTGTCAGGTCAAGCTTCTGCTGAAACTACTGCAAAGGCCACAACTGAGCTCTACGTTGCAGAGCTGATCAACAATGCTTTCTTCGCCATGGAAAATGGAGTTTCTGCCACAGTGGAGACAAGCTACAAACACGACCTCAACATGCCAGCCCTCAACACCTTCAGTGATGCAAAGATGACTCAAAAGACGGTTTTCCAGCTTGAAGACGGCTCTGCACGTCTGACCTTCAATAACATGGCAAATGAGAAATTTGCAATCCAGGACTTCTCAGATGAGCTAACCCACAATAGTGACATGGCAGTGGTCATGGATCTCCATACATCCCAGGTGACCTTCAATGCAGAAACACGTGGCAACCAATTTAAACTGAATCAACATGTTGACACTGATGTTTGCATTTTCCGCCATGTAATTATTAATGCCAAGGCTGAGACAGAAACACCTTTCATGAAGGGCAGTGTTGCAGAGGTCAAGCTTCAGGCTAAGGTTGAAGACATGAAATTTGATTTCACTGCCTCTCACAATGCAGAGTTAGTTGGTCCAGTTGAGGGAACCCTCGCAAACTCCGCTGTCGCCATGGTCACACCTAAGGAGCTTGCATTTGAAACCAAGAACAAGGGAAATGCCAAAGTTGCCCTTCCATTCAAGCTGTCTGGAAAGATGGACCTCCAGAATGACATCGCTTTTACCCTGAACTCCGAAGCGCAGCAAGCTAGCTGGACAGGTCTGGCTAGATTCAACCAGTACAAATACTCCCACTACTTCACAATGGACAACGGTGAGACAGAAATCAATGTATATTCCCAGATCAGCGGAGAGGCAAACCTTGACATGCTGAAGGAGCCCATCACCATTCCTGAAATCACTGTGCCACTTGTTGGTATGAAGACACCAAGAGTGGAAGACTTCTCCCTGTGGGAAGACACCGGCCTGGGCTACATCCTGACCACACCTCAGCAGACATTTGACATGAACACCAAGCTGAAGTACGCTAAGAACCCCGAGATGATCACCATTAACATTAATATGGAACCAGTCATCAGTGCCATTAATACCAACATGAAGGCAGTGCACAAGAAAGTGCTCATCGGCAAGGACAAGGCAGCTGCCATCCTCGCTTCATCTTATGACAAGGCAAAGGCAGAGTATGAAAAATACAGCGTTGAATTGCCTAAAACCATTACAGTCCCTGCCTATAAAGTTCCAGTGATGAATATCGAGATGTCTACATTCACAGTTCCCCTGCCTGACTTCACCCTGATCACAATGCCTGCTCTGCATGTTCCATCTGCCCTCAGCAAGCTGACCCTTCCAAAAATCACTCTTCCCAAAATTCAGAGCATCAAGATCCCAGTAATGGGTGATCTGACCTATGAGTTCTCCATGAAAACCGCAATGATCACACTCAAAACTGACGCCAGCATCCTCAACCAGGACAGCATCAGCGTCAAACTGGATGCTTCCTCAACCTCTGAATTTGACATTCTGACTGGAAGGATTGAGGGCAGCACCAACGTGAACACTGTGGATGGATTTAAAATGGCCTCTGTCCTTGCTGTAAAGCATTCGATGCTAGAGGGAAACCACGACAGCACCATCTTCGTAAACACTGACAGCGTCGAGACCTCCATCACCAATTCAGCAAAGGTCAATCTACCCGAAATGACCATGGAAATCTACCAGGAGATCACTGGAAATCCCGCAGAAGGCCTTGTTGTCTCCATGTCCACTCCATCTGCAGGACACATTGCAGTTCAGATGCAGGCTAAGAGGCCAGCACAAGTGAAAGCAAGACTCTATGGTCGCTACCCGGTAAGAGAACATTTGATTACTAACTTATTTTTTCATAATGGCAGTTTTCTAATTTCAGTGTGAATGGTGTTTGTTTGTTTGTTTGTTTTTTAAAAATATAATTAATCTTTTTCTGTTTACTTTTCTCAACAGTCTGAGCCAACAACAGACATTGACATCATGGCCCTGAAGATGTCTGTGATGAACTCCGAGAAGCTGAACCTTCAGACAACCTGGAATATGGAGATGCCATACGAGATGATGCTGACAATGAAAAATCAGGTGCCCAAAGTCATGGAAATGGTGTCTGATCCTGCTGCTAGAGCATACAGAAAAATCAACAGGGAAGTTAGGGGTCTTGGGGTTTACGTTGATCAGGCTAGAAAGCACAGTAAAGTGATGTTCAGGAGGGCTGCTGACAACCTTGAAGCAGTAGATCTGTCTAATATCATGACCACTGTCACTGATAAGGCCGTTGTGATCCTCAGAGCATACCAAAAGAAAGTTGAAATCGTTCTTGATGCTGTTGTTAAATTCCTGAGAGAGACCAGGTTCCAGATCCCCGGCTTCCAGCAGAGGCTGTCTGGCCTTGAGATCTATCAGAAATTCAGTGCTTTTGTTGCTGATGTATCTGAAGAGGCAGTTGAGAAGATTCCACAGTACTTTACCTCCATGTTCGCAGCAGCTCTTGATTCTTTCCAGTCCATTGAATTCACCCTTCCTGGCTCCACTTACATTGTCAGTGGACAAGAGATTCTTGATGACTTGTCAGTGGCTTTGAGGAAACTCCAGAACCAGGTGATTGTTGCAGTGAGGAAAATTGGAAACATCCAGCTGGAGGATATCATTAGCAAATTCTCAGCTCTCACACAGTTTGTCACTGAACAAAGTGAGAAGTTTCTCCAAACTGTAAAATCTCTGAATGTAGAGAGGCTCTCCACCTTTGTGACTGACGTATACAACGATGCCGTTAACTCTCCTGCCCTGGCTGATGTTCTGAAGCAGGTTGAAGAGGCCCGCAGAATTGTTATGGAATATCTTAGAGCTGTGAAAGCTAAACTCCAGAACATTGTGGCTGACATGTCCACCGAACAGCTTGTTGCAGATATCCAGTCCTGGATTGACTCACTGGTAAAACGCATTAACGCCTTCCACAACAATGTCATCAGGAGCCTGAAGGAAAAAAGCCAAGTTGTTGAACCATATGTGAGAGTCAGTGACAGACAAGTGGAGGTTGACATCCCTTTACCGTTTGTTGCCAAATTCAACTAAGTGACTGTAGCTACCAAAAAATAGTATTTGAACAGTGTTTGTATTAACTTTCTCTGTTTTGTAACCAACAAGATGATAGGAAATCTATTATCATTACGAAAAAAAACAAAAATGCAACTGTAAGCTAACAAGGACATCTGTACATGTCTCTCTACTGTTTTTCAAATTGTTAATTTTGTTTGTTGTTTCATAGTAGACTCTCCGTTGTTCTGGTCCTACTGTGCTCCCTTTGTGTCTTGTACTATTTAAAAAGAAAAAAACAACCTATGTGGGCATCAATAAATACAGTTTGTACTGCATACATCTGTCTCTGTGCATTTCAATCTTAAGCTTTAACCGTCTAAAAACCTAAATTTTGGGCTTTACTGTAGAAATAAGTGTCCGCTAATAATATGATGTCTACAACACTGAACCTCCCAAGAGGTGTGTCACGACTTTTGTAAAGAATTACAGTTTAAATCACAGCTGCTTCCCTAAAACTCACAACAAATGACAATGTGTCTCCTGTTACTCATTTAAACCGTGCTGAACAGCGTCTACAAAGCGCCCCTCCCATATGCCCATTAGTCATTTGTATTCTTGGGTCTATATTTAGATGAGACACAAATAGTTTCTGTTCGACACACACACACAAGCTTTCTTATCATAAAACAATGAGAATGAGTGCGGGTACGGCGTCAGTTTGACAGCTGTTAACAATAGTAAAAAGGATAGCCCTCATTTTGGAACATGTGACTTGTTTTCTTTTTCCAGTGAAAGCTATTGTCTATGTGTCATCATAAGTAGTGATGGAATGAGTATACAGATCCTTAACTCCACCGAAGCAGCAATACAACAGAATGAAGCAACTCCAGCTTTTTCAACCTTAGGTCAAAGTTTGAAAACATTCTCAGCAAAGCGTAGAAAAACTAAACACTTGTAAAACAGGATTTGGCCCATGTGGCAGTTAAATTATTATTGTACACTGTGTAGCCTGTTGCTGGGGTACAATTATGAATTAATCACAGCTTGAGCATTTTGTTTTCTGTGTCGATACCAGCCAGGGTGGAGCTGTTTTGAAATGCACTGCTCGAAAAAGTTACGGGAACACTTAATCATCACAGTACAACATCAATTCAGCTAAACTTCTGGGACATCGATGTGTCCACTTAGGCAGCTTGAGTGATTGTTTGTCCCCCTCAGTGGGTGAATCATTCTGTTTTCCACTGTCCAATCATTAATATACACTGTGGACTTCATTGAGAACAAAATAGCTAAATTAAATCATGAAGTTTCATACTCAAGTAAATGTTCCACTTCCTAAGCTGAATGACTATATTAAAGTTACGGGTAAATATATCTAATCTATCTATAAACACGTGCAAAATATACCACCCAAGTTCAAATGTTTGTCAGTGAATATATATTCCTTCTTTTAAGCACGATGAAAGCAACTGTAGCTGCAGCAGAACATTAACGATTTATCTTCAGTGTGAGGAAAACCAGGCAAAAGAACGGAAAAGCAGAGATGGTGACACACATTGATTTGTTTTATTGACTTTCCCAGAACAGTACCATTTGTTCCCTTACATTCTGTATTGTTTTTCCTAACAAAATTTCCATTGTTTCACCGTATAGAGTGCTATGCAGTTTATGTCGCCATGACTCGCTGAACTCTTACAAAGAGATAAGTTTGGCACATTTCAACAGTTTTTCTTTTTCTTCTTCTCCATGTTTTAGTCAAATAAAGAAGATGAAAACTGCACTGTCTGATCAGTGAATAATAACCCAACAACATTGTAATTCAGAGGCACATGAGGGGGGCCAGTGTGGGAAAATTAACCAGTCCAGCACAATGCATTCCTGTCCCGTAAGTCAGCAAAAAGCCCAGCAACAGAAGGCAGGGAGGAATGTGACTTTTACACCGTCGTAACTCTGCTTTTATTTATAAAAGATACACTCTTTTATACTCACATGCGTCTATGCTGTGGTTTCTCATTGAACCACAGAAACGTTACATGTTTAAAGTAAAATCGTTCCTTTTTTTTTTTTTTTTGTCCCCGCTATCCATTAAAAGAACAAGTCGCACAGTAAATCCGCCGGGGTTTTAGCCAGGATCCCCAGTGTAGCAACAGTCTCTGTAATTGATGTTCATAGCTGTCATTTGAACAAGCACTCCCACCATCATGCAAGAGGACAGTTACACAACACTGCTGTGCAGACACACATCACACTTGAAGTGAATTATTTTCAAAAGTACGAAACTTGATTTAATCAATTTCTGTTGCCAATAATTGTTTTTTGACCACATAAATTTGAGGTACATTCATCGTCATCATGGAAGACATTGAAGTGGAAAATTAGCATTTAGTGTTTCTCAACTAATCGTAATTCAGTTTAACTGCTTATTGCAGCTCGATAAATCATTACGACTTCACATATAGTTTAGTAAAATTGTGCTGATCGTAACGTAGCACGATAAACTTCCATTGAAGTGTTTAGTTGCCATCAGATGGCTTCATCCCACATGAGCGTGTGCTATAGGCTCATCAGCAGCAGTTTCATGACACTTTCTGAGAAAACACGCTTCACGGAGCAAAGGACTCACATGCCAAACCATCTCACATGCCTAATCTCCCGTTAGAAGTATCACCCACATAACTGCAAACGAAGCCGTGGCTTAAACAGAAAATGTCCAGCAGGCCCGAGACAGATGAGTCACATCAGTCTCTGTAACAGCTAAACGTGGACTGCATTACTGTGTGTGCTTCAAATGATTTGGTTCAGGTGAGCTGTGAGGAGAAAGAAAAGGTATCGTCTGGCTGCACTATTTACACATTCGATTAGTTAATATGGCCACAGCCGAGCATAAAACATGGGGTACAAACATGCTTCGCAAACTGTCCACTGTAAAAGAACATCTGCCTGAAAGTTTGCAGATCTTAACATGTTTAGCCCTTTTCCAGGATTGGCCAACGTGTCGTCTCCTAAACGTGGGGTGAAATTTGGCCTTTTGCATAACAGCTATAAAAAATCAGGCATTAAATACTGAGGAATCAGAAACATACTTTTTTGGGTTTGGCTCCGACTAACAAACCTGAGACAGCCGACTCTATGAACCGTAAACTTAAGTGTAGCTTCACACATCAAACGAAACTTTACAGAACACTGTGGGCTTTATAAAACTTTCTGTAAATTACCGTAGTGTACAGATGCTGTGCAATCTCACAAACTAAGTGTTATAATACAAAGTGGACATAAATAACAGTGCAATTGTTCTGCTTTGCTTATTATTACAAAGTATAACCTTGGCAGTAAGGCAGTGGCCTATGCAAACACTTTGAAACACAAAAAACAGTGAGCAATATAAATCTTGGCTTGCAAGCAGGCCTTTGGAAAGGCATGAGAGGGGGGTTAAAAAAAAAAGTCCTTCCATTGAAATGAATGTGATTTGTCCTTTTACCCCTCTGCAAGTCAGACTGGGATCACGTGACCCACAAAGAACATGCTGTAACCAGTGCATTTCACACACACACGCACACACACAAACACACTCGATATCAGATGATTTCCAGAGTGCGTTCAGAACAACTTGTTTACAGTCATTCGTTTTGCTTCAGCCGAGGGCGTCTGACCACAGAGGGGGCGTCCAGAGAGGAGCGTCCACTGCCCGCACATGTTCAGACGCAGCGGCCGGCGGAGGAAACGTCTCGTCTGCGCGTCATCAGCGACCTCACATCAGTACGCAGCATTTGAGACAACCACTTGATGGTGTCGTTGGTTTCTGTAAGGCTGCCCGTGTCGCCGTTTCGAACACTTCCCAGATCCCCTCCTTGGTTTTAGCGGAGCACTCCAAATAGTCATATGCGCCAATGCGCATGGCCATGGCGCGGCCGTCCTCCGCCTTCACTGGCTCCAGCTTCAGCCGAGACAACTCGTTCTTCACGTTCTCGTCATTGCGCAGATCCTTCTTGTTGGCCACCAGTATGATGGGCACATTCGGGCAAAAGTGCTTTACCTCGGGGACCCACTTTTCGGGGATGTTTTCCAGCGAGTCCGGGCTGTCCACGGAGAAGCACATCAGGATCACGTCGGTGTCCGGATAGGAGAGTGGGCGCAGCCGGTCGTAGTCCTCCTGCCCGGCCGTGTCCCACAGAGCCAGCTGAACTTGTTTGTTTTCCACCTCTATGTCCGCCACGTACGTCTCAAACACGGTGGGCACGTACACCTCCGGGAACTCGTCTTTGCTGAACACGATCAGTAGACATGTCTTCCCACATGCGCCGTCTCCCACCACCACAAGTTTCTTTCGTATGTCTGCCATCTCTGCCTCTCCTAGCTCTCTCTCATATGTCGCATCGAAAACACAGACTCACCGCTTCTCTCTGCTCTTATAAACTCTGAATAACACTGACCAGACCTGTCCGGCAAGCCGATCCCTTTTTCTAACTCCAGAACCTTTACCAGCAGCGCTGCGATCTCTTTATAAAGCGCTGGGTGGTTTCCTAAATATAGCAATCCAATCGGAAATTGGGAGGTGAGCTCACAGTTTGAAGAGGAGGAGGTGATTGGATCTCATCGGTTTTCCTTATGCAGAGGAGGGTCAAGGACCACGAGGACCCACCCGACCCAGGATCAGCCAAAATCAACCGAATCTCACCGCATGATGATGTATGACGCGACGGCTTGTGTGTAATTCCTATTTAAAGCAGCTCATATGTGAGTTCTTGTCATTACCAAAAATATATCCCTCGAGGAAACGTTGTTTTAGCCTTTGCTGCTTTTGTTACTGAGTCAGCCTTGTCTGTGTAAAACTGAATTATTTAATAAAAAATTCATTCAAACTACTTCATTGGTTAAGCCGCAGTAATATGAGGGCGCTTCGGGGGGAAGGGTCACCGAGACGCGCTGCTAATTAGTACGATATTGGACGGCAGGTTGTTAAACATATTAAATAGCGGCAGATCTGTGTTTGTGGTACAAAAGATACGTTGGGATCGCAAATTTACATTGACATTGTTGTACGCATGTCTACGTAGTTCACGCTATTTACAGGGAGGGGGCACTAGCGTAGGCAAACTCTTAGCTTTGACTATCAAGCCTTGCTAAATCACCGCTCTCTCCAAGGAAACAAAACAATATAGAATTGGGTTGACGGCGTGCAACAAGCATAGATCCTCTCTCGACACGACAACGCGTGAGTATCTCCTCTTATCTGCTCGCAGCGAAGGCAAAAGCTTTCGCAAAGCGACTGCTTAGAAGGCGGCTGCCGTGGTGTGAGTATTTCCCCTTTTGTTTAGCGGTTAAGGCCCCTCTGTTTGGAACTTGAAGGGGGGCCATGTTGTTTAGCCACTGAGTGTTTGGCTGATGTTTTAGCTCACACAACAGCAACTTGGCAATTAGCGCGTGCTAGCTCTCACGCTTAGCCGTAATGGTTTATTTGGCTCGTTGCAACAAATGTGGTATATTGAGGCTAAAAAACATCCCCTTTCCCTCTAACGCGGAAGGCCACAAGTTTAATGTAAAACAATGGTGAATTCACGAATTTCACTTTGATGTCTAGTGTAGTCAACCAATAATAAACAGCAGGCCCGATGCGGTTAGCATTAGCTGATTAGCTAAGAAGGTTGCGAATGCTCACTCTCATGAAGTATTATTAGCTATCAATAAAAATGTTCGATTTGCCTGAGCGAGAATACATTAATTATAAAATAATGATGGCCGACAAGGTTGCGAACTGCTAGTCATTAACCTTTCTAAATTAACAAATGCCTTGTCAAAGCCGTTAAGTTAGCTTGCTTGTTAGCAGCGGACTTGCTAGCTAGGCTAGCTAGCCAGCTAGCTAGCTTGCTAAAGGCTTGCACGTCGGTTTGCCACAACGACCAGCAGGTAATGTTGGATGTAATGTTGTAATTCGTTATATAATTTTAAAAGCCAGCCGCAGTTCGCACTGTTGCTAAAATGTCTCACGTTTTATTTTATCGTTTTAGCCATTAGCAACACAATATTAGTGTTAGCGTAACGTTAGCTTTATGATTACTAGCTAGCATTTCGGCGAACGACAATGTTACCTAGCAGTGTCGGTCATGTAAGCCATCAACATCCACATTATTCCCTTGTTTTGTTCTTCCCCAAAATATTAGCATAAAAGCAAACCGTTAAATTACACTTAAAATGTAACGTTGTTGAGCAAGAAATTTATTTTGTAGATTTGAACACCCATGGCATGGAGTTAGCAGCTCGGGAATTAGTCTTGTCCCGGCGAAGAAAATGTATATTAAACACCAGTTATCTTGAAGTATTCTTTCTGGTGGCATATTTTCAATTGGTCTGTTTTTAAAAGTTAGTTTGTCTAAAGGCCCACGATGGTCACATGTTGTGAATTCGTTACTTAAAGTCCATCTGGATACGGAGTAATGTGTGAAACATTGACTTTAGGCGATTGTAAAAAGTAACTCAAATTGCAGGTTTGAGTCATTTCAGACGTGCAATAGCTGTGATAGACAAAGATAGACATCAAGTCAGTTATATATTCCTACTTGGAAGAGCACAAAAGGGCTACATCCTTTAATTAGACTGCATACTCATGTCTACATAATGCTCATATATTTTTGTGTCTTGAAATTTGATGCAGGTCAACACAACTGAAAACTAAACCAAAACTGTATTTCCCGACTGAATCATGATGTTGTGGTTTGTTTAGGCTTTCCCGTGGAATGAGCGTTCCATGCAGCATCCTAGGTATGAATGACGTGGCCTGGCAGGAGACAAGAGGTGGGATGCTGCATGCAAATGGTGCCCCTGAGTCTGGGGTCGTCCGAGTTCATGGTGGAGGACCCCTATCTGCAGTCGGGGGAGCTGGGCAAGCTCCCGGAGGACCACATTTACAGGGCATGGACAGGGGTGCCAATCCTACCCCGGGTACCCCACAGCCTCCACTGAGTGGCAGATCTCAGGATGATGCCACAGTTGGATACTTCTTTCAGAGGCAGCCTGGAGAGCAGCTCGTCGGGTGCACACCCAGCAAGCATCGCTGGCCAACTGGGGATGCTAATCATGTTGATCAGGTAACGAGCCGTTATTAGGGGAACAGCCACTGCAAAGATATTCAATTAAAGCATGGTGCCGCACTTTTAGTTGATGGAAATCCAAAAAAACAACTCAATTAAGAAAAGTTAAATAAACCTGAATCAGATAATCGCTTACTGTGACGTGTGGCCCAAACAACAAGAGTCTGTTTCTCACCAGTGACACCAAGTCACATATTTCACATACTGGAGTCTATGTTGACTTAATGGCAGGTTACCTTTTCCACTAGGCATGATTTTCATGTCGAAGCACATTAAAATATGCCCACAGCTTTTATTGGGGATGTATGGAAGGAATACGGTGTACCTTACGAATAGCATAAATTATTAATTTAGAGGATTGAATGCAACAAGTTCCTCTAGATGACCTGAAACAGCTGACAGAAAATAGAAGCGAGTTACATCTGCGCTGGTGCCTTTTTCTTTCCGTGTAGAAAGCTCTTGCTTCTTTAATCGAGCCTCATCACTCCTCAGAGCTGAAAAACAAAACGGAAAAGCACCTAATGACAACGATGACAAACTCAAGTTCTGTGTCAGTCCACATCCATTTATCTAAGGGCACGCTTGGTGAGAGGTGGAGTACACACTGGACAGATAGCCAGTCTGTCACAAGGTGTGTTAAGCTGCAATAGCACAGTTAAATACTGCAATCTCCTCATTCAGTGGGTAAGTCAGTGAGATGAGGGCTTCTGCTATTGTGTTAGCACAGCAGGGGTGAGATTCTCACCATCATAGCTGAACCAGGGTTGTAGTATCCTGTCTGGCAGTATTATAAGTTGCTATGCAGTGCGTTGGCATCTGATAACCCCTCAAATTTAATAATTGACAGACCAGACTTGTGGGATTAGATTGATCTTCTTACTAATGCATGTAACAAAAACCCACTTCACCGATCCTGTGAGGCCCATGAAAGCCTCACAATAAGGCCCCAGACTGATGCTCTAGTATTAAACTTGGACCTTCCTGGTACGAGGCAACAGTGCTTCAAATTTGGCCTGTTGTGATGTACTGTTTTTTTTTTTTTTTAAATTTTACTTATTACAATTAAAAAATCAAGTTAATCAGTTTTGTACAACCAAGTAAATGTTACCGTAAGACTAATGTGTAATTTCCCCTTATTTTTAATTTACACATTTAATTTGTGCAAATTGTGTCTTTTTGGATTTCCTCATTTGCAGCCATTATCTGTGCAAAGGTCTCTGTTCCGTTTGTTTATTGGGTCCCCATTCCTCATGCATGTCTGAGACCTTTGTTCAGCAGCCCCCATGCACACAGTTGATTAGACGTGATCTTATCTCTCAGTTTGATTTTCAGAGCAGTCATGAATTAATTCTGTTGTCTTGTGGCCTTGAAACAAGTTCGTTTTAGCAGCAGCAGCAAGGATTTCTTTATTTAACCATATTACACACAAAGCTGCTTCATGAAATTTTATGTCAAAACCTTTTCTCTGTTCTTTGTCTCAGGTCCGTGCTGTGGATGAAATGAACTATGACTTCCAAGCTCTCGCTTTAGAGTCAAGGGGGATGGGAGAGGTAAGGCTTCTTCTGCCTAACATCAGTTCTTTCTCCCTTTTTGTACAGCAGCATCAGACCCTTCAGAAACTCTGGTCTAAAGACATGAATTTATTCTAAACTACCTTGTTTAGAAAGTGATTGATTTTGTTTTTTAACATGTGTATTAAGACCAGCCGTCGTCTCCTTCTAGACAAACAAATGTTGTGTATATAATATAATGTGCACCAAACTGAGAAAGTCACAGTCCAGATTAGGACCAGTACGTTTGTTACGCCCCTAATTATAAACATTCATGTGTTTGTAAGTCAGTCGTGTTAGAAATGCAGAGCAAAAAAAATGTTTGTACATGTGTTTTATTTTTTATTTTATTCATTTTAAATAAGCTTTTGCCAGCAAAAAAGCTCTGGGATTCTGATGAGCTGGCCAAGGATGGAAGAAAAGGGATGCTTCTTGGAGAGGAATGGAGGGACAATGCGTGGGGATCATCTCGTGAGTGGCTGCTTTTTTAATTTTTTTTAAATATTATATTCATTAGAAATACTGTATACAGTGGCAAGAAAAAGTAAATGAACCCTTTGGAATGATGTGGATGGATTTGTCTTTAAATCTGCTCCTGTGGTCATCTGAGTTACAATTATGAAGAACACTTAAATAATTTTAGTGTTTATTTCCCATATTAAATAAATCATTTGAGGTATTTGCTGAAAAGGGGACGTTGTAAGTAAATCGGTGCAGCTGGTTAGCTTTTCTTTCTCTGCCACCCTTTAATCGTGGAGCATGACGTCTGTGGCAGGACGTCAGGGAGGATGCTGCTGTCTTCCAAAAAACAAAACAGAAGGTTGGGACTATTACAGCAATTTATTACAGAATGACTTAAACAAAGAAAAAAGACTTTCAGTGGTTTATCCAGAGACCACTTCTTAACCCAAAAGAGATGCTGTGGAACGGCCTAGAGGGACATTCACACAAGAAATCCTGACAATGTGGCTGAGCTCAAGCAGTTCTGAAAGGGAGAATGGTTCAGATTTCTTGCTGGACATTTTGCAGCTTGTGAAATTGCTGCAGAATGTGACTGCCACAGGAGTTTCTTGATGAATAATAAATCCAAGGGTTCACTTACTTTTTCCACCAGTTCCTTAAATATTACAGTCGGTGTGGTGACGCCTGAGGCACCCTGTTTATTTTTACATGCGACTCATATGAAGATCAAATCACATTTTCTGACCAATGAATGCCGAA